GTTAGGGTGTGTGATACCTCCATGTTGTTCTTGTTTCTCAAGATTGCTTTGGCTATTGGGGATCTTTTATGGTTCCCCACGAATTCTTGATTGATTTGTTCTGTGAAAAATGCTACTGGAATTTTTACAGGGATTGCTTTGGGTAGTATAGACATTTTAACAATATTGATTCTTCCAATCCATGAGTACAGAATATCTTTCAATTTATTTGTTCCTTCTTCTTCAGTATCTTATAGTTTTCAGTGTATAGGTTTTTCACCTCCTTGGTTAAATTTATTGCTATGTATTTTATTCTTTTTGATGAAATTGGACATGTGATCATTTCCTTAATTTCTCTTTCTGATAGTAGGTTATTATTGTTTAGAAACACCACTGATTTCTGTATAATGATTTTGTATCCTGCAACTTTACTGAATTCATTCATTAGTTATAACAGTATTTTAGTGGAGTCTTTAGGGTTTTCTATTTAGAGTATCATGTCATCTACAAATACTGACAGTTTTACTTCTTCCTTTCTAATTTGGATGACTTTTCTTTTTCTTATCTAATCACTGTAGCTAGGAATTAAAATATGTTGCATAAAAGTGGCAAGAGTAAGCATCCTTGTCTCATTCCTGATCTTAGAGGAAAATCTTTCAGCTTTCACCAATGAGTATAAAGTTAGCTGTGGTTTTGTCTCATATAGCCTTTCTTATATTGAGGTATATTCCCTCTGTCCCCATGTTCTTGAGTTTTTATCATAAATGCATGTTGAATTTTGTTAAATGCTTTTTCTGCATCTGTTGAGATGATCATATGATTTTTGTCCTTCATTTGGTTAATGTGGTGTGTAATGTCAAAAAATTTGCAGATGATGAACCTGCCTTGCATCCTTGGAATAAATCCCACTGAATCATGGTGTATAGTCCTTTTAATATATTGTTCAATTCTTTTTGCTAATATTTTGTTGAGTATTTTTGCATTAATGTTCATTAAGAATATTGGCATGTAATTTTCTTTTTTTTTTGGTGTTGTTTTTCTCTGGTTTTAATATCAGGGTAATGCTTGCCTCATAAAATGAGTTGGAGAGCATTCCCGCCTCTCCTCTTTGTTGTTTGGATGACTTGGAGAAGGACAGCTATTGAATCTTCTTTGTTTGGTAGCATTCACCAGTGAAGCCATGTGGTCCTGGACTATTGTTTTTTGGGGCAGGTTTTTGATTACTTACTCAATTTCATTACTAGTAATCAGTCTATTCAAATGTTCTATTTCTTCATGATTTAGTCTTAGAAGATTGCATGTTTCTGGGAATTTTTCCCTTTCTTTTAGGTTGTCCAGTTTGATGGTATGTAATTGTTCATAGTAGTCTCTTATGATCCTTTGTATTTTGTGGTATTAGTTATAACTTCTCCTCTTTCATTTCTGATTTTATTTGACCCCTCCTTTTTTGTGTTGGTTACTATAGGTAAAGGTTTGTGAATTTTGTTTATCTTTACAAAGAACCATCTCTTAGTTTCATTGATATTTTCTGTTTTTTAAGAGTTATTTATTTTAGAGAGAGAGAGAGTATGAGCAGGGGGAGGGGCAGAGGGAGAAGGAGAAAGAGCAGATGCCTCACTAAGCATGGATCCCGAAGCGGGGATTGACGCCAAGACCCTGAGGTCATGACCAAAGCCGAAATCAAGGGTCAGAGGCCCAACTGACTGAGCCACCCAGGTGCCCCTTCATTGATATTTTCTATTTTTTTTTAAGTTTCTATTTTATTTGTTTCCACTCTGATCTTTAATTCTTTCTTTCTACTACTTTAAGTTTTATTTGTTCTTATTTTTCAAGTTCCTTTTTGTGTACAGTTAGATTTTTTTTATTTTTTGAAATTTTTCTTGCTTCTTCAGGTAAGACTGTATTGCTATGAACTTCCCTCTTAGATCTGCTTTTGCTACACCCCATAGATTTTGGCATGTCCTATTTCTGTTTTAAATTGTCATTATTTAAAAAGAAATTCTTTGATTTTTTTTCAATGACTCACTGGTTGTTCAGTAGTGTGTTGTTTAATCTCCACATTTTGGTGTTTTTTTCCAATTTTATTTTTGTACTTGATTGGTTTCATACCATTATGGTCAGAAAAGATGGTGCTTATGATTTCAATCTTCCTAAATTTATTGCAGTGTTTCTTTGTGGCCTAATATGGGATCTCTCCTGGAGAATGTTCCATGTGCACTTGAGAAGAATGTGTATTCTGCTGCTTTTGGATGGACTGGTCTGTATATATCTGTTAAGTACATTTGTTCTTATGTGCCATTTATGGTTGATATTTCCTTACTGATTTTCTGTCTGGGTAATTTATTCACTCATGTAAGTGGGATGTTAACATCCCCTACTATTTTTACATTGTTGTCAATTTTTCTTTCGGGTATGTTAATTTTTGCTTGATATATTTTGGTGATCCTATGGGGTGTGTGTATAAACAATGTATCTTCTTGATGGATTGACCTCTTTATCATTATGAAATGCCCTTCTTTGTCTTTATTACAGTCTTTGTTTTAAAGTCTATTTTGTCTGATATGAGTATAGCTGCATGAGCTTTCTTTTCATTTCCATTTGCATGGAATATCTTTCTCCATCTCTTCACTTTCAGCCTTAATGTCTGTCTTCTGAAGTCTCTTTTAGGCAGCATATTGATAGGTCTTGTATTTTTTTTTTTTTAAGATTTTATTTTTTTTTTAGAGAGTGAGCGAGAGAGAAACAGCATGAGAAGGGAGAGGGTCAGAGGGAGAAGCAGGCTCCCCACTGAGCCGGGAGCCCGATGTGGGACTTGATCCCAGGACCCTGGGATCATGACCTGAGCCGAAGGCAGAAGCTTAACCATCTGAGCCACCCAGGCGCCCCAGGTCTTGTATTTTTATTCACTGAGCCATTCTGTGTCTTTTGATTGGAGAGTTTAATCCATTTACATTTAAAAGAATTATTGGTAAGTATGTACCTATTGCCAGTTTGTGAAGTGCCATTTTGTTTTTGTTTTCTGGCTTTTTAATAGTTCTTCACTCTCCCTTTTTTTTCTTTCTTGCCTTGTGGTTTGATGGCTTTCTTTAGCGTGCTGTGATGTTTAGAATCTTCATTTTCTTTTGTGCATTTACCTATGAGTTTTTGCCTGTGGTTACTGTGAGTCTCACACAGGATCCTATGTATATAACAGTTGGTTTTATTCTTTAGCAACTGAAGTTTGAATACATTCCAAACCATTATATTTTTACTCAGTCACTCCAATGATTCATATTTTTGATGTCACATTTTACATATTTTTATTTTATGTATCCCCAATTATTGTAGTTTAAATTTACTACTCTTGGTTTTTAACATTCACACTTGCTTTATAAGTGATTGATCCATTGCCTTTACTATATATTTATTTTTTCCAGTGAGATTTTTACTTTTGTATGTTTTGTATTTCTTTTCAGCTCAAAGAATTCCCTGTAACATTTCTTGTAAGGCCAGTTTAGTGGCGATAAACCCCTTCAGCTTTTGCTTTTTTGGAAAACTTTTTTTTTTTTTTTAAGTAGGCTCCACGCCTGGCATGGAGCCCAACATGAGGCTTGAACTCAGGACCCCACGATCAAGACCTGAGCTGAGATGAAGAGTTGGATGCTTAACTGACTGAGCCACCCAAGCACCCCTGGAAAACTCTTGATCTCTCCTTCATTTCTGAATAACCATGCTGGGTTAGAGTTCTTGATTGGACATTTTTTCCTTTCAGCACTTTGACTATGTCATGCCACTCTCTTCTGGCCTCCAAGTTTTTGTTGAGAAATACGCTGATACGTGATAAGTTGTTTTCCTCTTGCTGCTTTTCAGACTGTCTTTACCTTTTGCTGTTACAATTATGTGTCTTGGTGCGGATCTCTTGGGGTTCATTTTATTTGGGAGTCTTTGGACTTCCTGGACCTGGATGCCTGTTTCATTCCCCAAATTAGGAAACTTTTCAGCTTTCTTCAAAAATTTTTTTGGTCCATTCTCTCTTCTCCCTCTGGGAACCCTATAATGTGAATATGTATTCTACTTGATGTTGTCCTAATGTTCCCATAAAGAATCTTCCTTTTTAAAAAATTATTTTTCTTTTTGCTGCTCTGTCCAGTCTGATTTCCATTGCTTTTTCTTCCAGTTTGCCAATCAGTTCTTCTGCTTCATCCAGTCTGTTGTTGAACCCCTCTAGTTTGGGTATTATATTCTTTAGCTCTGTAACTTACATGTGTACATTTCTTATATTTCTGTCTTGAAGATTTCATGGTGTTCATTCATTTTTCTCCTGAGTTTAGTGAACAGCTTTTATGCCCATTCCTTTGAAGTCTTTATCAGGTAGATTGCTTATCTCCATTTCGTTAATGTATTTTTCTGAGGTTTTGTCTTGTTTCTTTTATTTGGATCATCTTCCCCTGCCCCCTAATTGTGTCTGGCTCTCTGCATTTATTTCTATATATTCAGGGAAGCAGTTCTGTCTTCCAGACTTGGAAGGGTTACTCATTGGAAGACTGGGGATGTGTTGCATTCTGTTGTTTGTGTAATACCCTGGGGTGGAAGCCTGCCAAGCTCTTGTCTCTCTTGAATATTTGAGTCCTGTGGAGCCCAGAGATACAACCCCACCCTGCACCCTGAGCCATTGCCAGATGCTCAAGGAGTATTGCCTGTGCAGAGTGTGTTCACTTTTTGGGTCTTGCCAGCTGTAGGTCATGGTGGATAAGCACCAGACTGGGGAGTGTTTATCCACTGGATATGGCAAGGCAGGGGCCACCATGGAGTTGTGTGGGGCTTGGATAAGACTTCTACTGGATCTGGTGGGCTGGGGGCCCTAATGGATGAGCACTGTTGTGGTTGGAGTCCACTTGTCAGATCTCACAGGGTGGAGGCATGGTGGATAAGCATTGGGCTGGGTCTGGTAGGGCAGGGCTGCAGGACATTGGGGGACCACATTAAGGAGGAAGTGGCACTAATGAGGAAGATTATGAGCACCAAAATTGGCACTGTCCAGCACAGGACTAGCAAGGAAGGAGAGAAAATTAAAATTCACCTGTCAGCACCTCTCTCTGCAGAGATCTATAGTCAACCCCCCGCCCTTCTGGTATACTCCCTAAGACTAATAAATGAACTTCCCTCACACAGAGCCCAGCTTCTCAAACTACTGCTTCTGCACTGGGACTTGTAGCAAGGGAGTCTGTGTGTCAGCCCTTGAAAAGCAGAATCTCAGTTTCCTATAGTCTTCTGGCTCTCCTGGATGTTAGCTCTGCTGATTTCAATGGCAGTTGTTTTGGGGGCTTTTCTTTTCAGTGCAAGTCCCATGGGTGGGGTGTCTGATGTGGAGCTCAAACCCCTTGTTCCTCAGAGAGGACCTGTGAGTTTGTGATATCCCTCCCTCTTGTGGGTTGATGTGCTGGAGGTAGGATTCCTGGCAAGAGCACTTCTCTGCCCCTCCCACCAGTTTGTAGGTGGGTTTCTCTCTTTTTTCTGCCCTGTGTTGTAGAACAGCTGTTCTGTAAGTCTTTAGAGATCTTTTTCAGAGAATTAGTCTATATGTATCTGTAACTTTGGTGTGTCCATGGGAGGAGGTGAGCTCAGGATATCTTCCTATGCTGCCATCTTGGAACCCCACCAAGATTTCTGTCTTTTTAAAAACTGAATAATATTGATTGTAGACACCTACTACACTTTCTTTAGCCATTCATCTGTCAACAGACACTTAGGTTGTTTCCATACCTTGACTATTGTGAATAAAGCTGCAAGGAATGTGTACAGATACCTCTTTGAGATAGTGGTTTCATTCACTTTGGGTATATATGGAGTAGTGTGATTGTGGTCTCATATGGTAGTTCTGTGTTAAATTTCTTGAGGAAGCAACACATTATTTTTTCTTTTTTTTTTTTTCAAGAAAAAAAGATTTTATTTATTTGACAGAGAGAGACACAGCGAGAAAGGGAATACAAGTAGGGGGAGTGGGAGAGGGAGAAGCAGGCTTCCCGCTGAGCCGGGAGCTGGATGTGGGGCTTGATCCCAGGACCCTGGGATGATGACCTGAGCCAAAGGCAGCCACTTAACTGACTGAGCCACCCAGGCGCCCCCAACACATTTTCCATAGTGGAAATTTACATTTACATCCCCACCAGTAGTGCCTAAGGGTTTCTTTTTCTCCATATCTTCACCAGCATTTATTATCTCTTGTCTTGATAGTAGTCAGTCTGACCAGTGCAAGGTGGTATCTCATTGTGGTCTTGATTTGCATTTCCTTGATGATTAGTGATACTGGCCATTTTATGCATTCTTTAGAAAAATGTCTATTCAGGTCCTTTGCCCATTTTTAAATTGGGTTTTTTTACTATTAAGTTGTATGAGTTCCTTATATATTTTGGATATTAACCTCTTATTATGTTTGCAAATATTTTCTTTCTTTGTGGAGGTTGTCTTTTCATTTTGCTTATAGTTTCCTTACTTTATAGAAGCTTTTAAGTTTAATATAGTCCCACCTGTTTATTTTTGCTTTTGTTGCTATTGATGTCAAATCCAAAAGACTGCAGCCAAGACTGCTATCAAGGGGCTCACTCTACTTTTTTGGAAGTATAGTTGACATACTATATTAGTTTGAACTGTACAACATAGTGATGCATCAGTTCAATACATTATTCAGTGTACACCACAGTAAGTGTAGTCACTTTCATTATACAAAATTATTACATTATTATTGACAGTATTCCCTGTGCTGTATTTTCCATCTCTGTAACTTACTGTAAGTGGAAAACACCCTCACCTGTTTTGCCTCTCTCTTCCCCTTAGGCAGCCATCAGTTAGTTCTTTGTATTTAAGAGTCTGTTTCTGCTTTTGTTTTTTTTTAGATTTCACATATAAGTGAAAATATATGGTGTTTGTCTTTTTTCTGACTTATTTCATGTAGCATAATGTCTTCTATGTCCATCCATATTGTCAGGAATGGTAAAGTTTCATTCTTCTTTTATGTCTGAGTAATATTCCATTATGTGTGTGTGTGTGTGTGTGTATGTATATATATATATATATATTTTTTAAGATTTATTTGACAGAGAGAGAGGGCAAGCACGACCAGGGGAGCAGCAGGCAGAGGGAGAAGCAGGCTCCCTGCTAAGCAGGGAGCCTGATGTGGGGCTCGATCCCAGGACCCTGGGACCACGACGTGAGCTGAAGGCAGATGCTTAACAACTGAGCCACCCAGGCGCCCCTATATATATCTTCTTTATCCATTCATATACTGATGGCTACTTGGGCTGCTTCCATATCTTGGCTATTGTAAATAATGCAGTAAACATAGGGGTACATATATCTTTTCAAATTCGTGTTTTCATTTTCTTTGGGTAAACACCCAGCACTGGAATCACTGAATCATATATTATTTCCATTTTTAATTTTCCAAAAAAACCTCCATACAGTTTTCCCTAGAGAATGTACCAATTTGCCTTCTCACCAACAGAGCATGAAGTTCCTTTTTCTCTACATCCTTGTCAACACTTGTTATTTTGTGTGTTTTTTATATTAGCCATTTGATTTGCTTTTCCCTGATGATTAGTAATGAGCATCTTTTCATATATCTATTTGCCATCTGTATTTTCTTTGGAAAAATATCTATTCAAGTAATCAAGTAATTTTTTTATTGGATTATCATTCTTTTGATGTTGAGTTATAGGAGTTGTTTATATATTTTGGATATTAACCCCTATAGGATAGGTTATCTGCAAATATTGTCCCATTCTATAGTTTGCCTTTTAGTTTTGTTGATGATTTACTTTGCTGTGCAGAAGCTTTTTTATTTTGATGTAGTCCCACTAGTTTACTTTTGCTTTTGTTTCTCTTGCCTTAGGAGACAGATCTAGAAAAATGTTGCTATGGCTAATGTCAAAGAAATAACAGCCTGTGTTCTCTTCTAGGAATTTAATCGTTTCAGATCTCTCATTTCAGTCTTTAATCCATTATGAGTTATTTTTGTGTATGGTATAAGAAAGTGGTCCAGTTTCCCCAACACCATTTATTAAAGAGACTGCCTTTTCCTCATTGCACATTCTTGCCTCCTTTGTCGTAGATTAATTGACCATATATGTGTAGGTTTATTTCTGGGCTCTCTGTTCTGTTGATTTATGTGTCTATTTCTGTGTCAGTACCATATTGTTTTGATTACTAGAGCTTTGTAGTATATCTTGAAATGTGGAATTGTGATACTTCCATCTTTCATCCACTCTTTTCTCAAGTCTGACAAGCATCTTTTTGACCATTACTTTTAACTCCTTATCATAGACTGGTGATCACCATTTCAATTAGTTTTTTCCTCAAGTTTTGTCTCATTTTTTTTGTTTGGAGGATATTCCTGTCTTCATTTTGTTTTACTTTCTTTTCACTTAGGCAAAACAGCTACCTCTCCCATTCTGGATGACAGGACTTGCATAGGAATATCCCTGGTGTAGACTGTATGTCTCGTGGTTTTGGCTGGCTGGTTAGAGCTGTGGCCTGAGAATTCCTTGGGCAGCCTACCCTAGGGCCACTCTGGTAAGATGGCTGGAGATGAAGCAGGCATGGACAGGTGCTCCATAAAGGGGTGCCCTGGTGGGGTAGCTGGAACTGAAGTGGGCATGGGTTGGGTGGTCCCAGGGCATTCTGTGCTTGGAGAATCCTGGAGGGATGGTTCCAGCTGTAGTGGGTGTGGCCTCACACAGGGGGTGCCCTGGTGAGTTGGCTGCAGCTAAAACAGTTGGAGGCCTGGGGTGTCTTGGAGTGTTTTGTGCCTGTATTATCTTGGTAAGTTGGCTGCAGCTGGAATGGGCACACTAAAGGAATGACCGGGTGTGCACTGTGTTGGGCTCACCTTGGTGGGACAACTGGAGGTTGGGCAGGCATGTGTGCAGGGGCTGCCTTGGGGAGATGTCAGGCTGGTGTGGGCTAGGGCCCTGGTGTTTGCTAATGCAGCAGGCTGGCTAGAGTGCTGGGACCTTGAGCCCATCTGTGCCATCAAGGTGAAGGATGAATGTAAACAATGGTACTCACTAGCACCTCTGAGTCTGGAGAAAGTTCCAGCAGTTCCTTCACTGTTGAATGCTCTAGGGTTGGTTCACTGGTAGTGTAGTTGCCTTTTGAACTGCTGCTTTTTTCCATGCCCCAGCATGGGTGAATCTGTGCATGAGTCCCTCTGTGCCATCCCTTCCCACTGCAGTTTACCTCAGCGTTGGGTTTCCTGTTGTTACCGTGTCTCTGTTTCTCCTGCTATTCTCTATGTGGTCTCTCTATCCTCTGTTGTACAGAAGCTGTTCAATCAGTCCTCAGTTCTTCTTTAGGAGGAACTGCTCTATATGTAGGTATAGATTTGGTGTGTCTATGGAAAGAGGTAAGTTAAAGGTCTTCCTAGCCGCCATCTCGGACCTAAATCTTCCCTGTTTTCTTTGAGGAGTTCTATTGTTTCGTCTTTATTCAATTTTGAATTGATTTGTGTATATGCTACAAAGTAGGGGGTCCAGTTTCATTCTTTTGCATGTGGCTGTCCAGTTTTCCCATCACCATTTATTGAAGAGACTATCCTTTCTCCATTACATATTCTTGGCTCGTTTGTTGAAAATCAGTTGACTCTCTCTCTCTAAAATAAAATAAATAAATTAGGAAAGGGGGGCACACCTGAATGTCTCAGTTGGCTAAGTGGCTGATTCTTGGTTTCGGCTCAGGTTTGTGAGATCCAGCCTGGTGTCGGGCTTTGAGCTGGAAGTCTGCTTGAGGATTCTCTCTCTCTTTCTGCCCTTCCCCTTGTGCTCTGTCTCTAAAATAAAATAAATAAATCTTAAAAAAAAAAATCAGTTGAAGATATAGGCATAGTGTTATTGGGCTCTCTATGCTCTTCTATTGATCTATGGGTTTGTTTTTAGCTATGCCATAATGTTTTGATTACTATAGCTTTGTAATATAGTTTGAACCTGGAAGCCTGATTCCTCCAGCTTTGCTCTTCTCTCTCAAGATTGCTTTGCTATTTTGAGTTTTGTGGTTCCGAGCAAATTTTAGAATTTCTTTTTCTATTTCCATGGAAGATGCCACTGGAATATTGATAGGGATTATACTGCATCTATAGATTTCTTTGGGTAGTATGTACTTTCTTAGAATATAAATTTTTCCCATCCATGAATATGGAATATCTTTCCATTTATATCTTTTTCAGTTTTTTTTTTCATCAAAGTCTGATAGTTTCAGTGTACATATCTTTCACCTCTTTAGCTAAATGTATTCCTAAGTAAGTATTTTATTCTTTTTGATGCTTTTATGGTATTTTTATTTGGTTTGGGATTTTGAAATCTGGCACATGGGTCATTTAATCTCAAACATCATTCCTTTATTATATCTGGGAACTTTATTCCTAGAACTGCCACCTTAGTTTAATCTAAAGCGGTAACTGCCACTGACACCTGAACTACTTACTTAGACCTAAGTCTCACTTGCAAGCACCCCATGCTGGAGGAAAAGCAGCCTGCTGGTTTCTCAGCTCTCAGCTGATTTCTCAGCTCTCAGCCGTGAGGAATCCTAGGTAACCCTGGCAATGAGGCAGAAAACTGCAAAGAGCCTGGCCAGCAAAGCAGAAAGGAGGCAAAAGAAAGCCTGGCCTAATTTATAAAATAAACAACACTATTTGATCTCATGCAATAAGATAGTTATAAACCTTAAGAACTCTGGAAGGATAATTCATGATTGGATAGTCTTTCTAAAAACAAGTCCTCTACACATTGTAGAGCATCAGTTACTAATGAAAATTGTAAAGTGCTCAAATAAATAAATGAAATTTATATCCAAACAGTGTTTACAAATAGGCCTTTCGTGAATGTAATTCTTGCTTGGACCTGTATTTTGTGTAGTTCTCTTTCCTCTCATGACTTTGACATTTTGCAGGACTGTACCCTGGTTTTCATTGTCATGCTTTTATTTTTGAATGTCAGTGACATATTATCATTGTATTTTTTAAACCTTTATCTCCATCTGATCATGCTTTAGTATAAGTGTTTTATCATCCTCATTCCTTTTTAAAGAGGTACCAGGAATACACTTCTAATAAGACCGGGATTTTAAAAACAAAATGATAACCAGGAGACAAAGGGCGCTTGGACTGTGAGCCTAGTTTTATGCATTAACATAAACTAACTAACTGAAAAATGAAGTTTAAGTAAGTGACATTTTACATTTTATGTTTTCAGTTTTAAATAGTTTTAACAATTACTTGCTATCTAGAACCCCAAATTGTCTATCAACACCATAGGTCCAATTAGCTTATTTTCAGAAGCATCTTTTCAATAAAAACAATCTGCTAAGGAATAAAACAAATAGGGCGACACTCAAAATGTGTACCCGAAGCCCATTTTGGAGGCAGTCAGAGAACAAGAGTCTCTCTTGCATACTAACCAGGAAGGTCATGCTTGACCCCGAATTCCTGAATGATTTGCCTCCGAAATTTCCCTTGCAGTTTTCCAGTGTTCTGCATCTCCACACAGCAGTTCAGAAGCAATACTGAGCATTTTCCAAGTAACTGAGAGTATATTTTTCAAATACAGTCTATACATAATACCATGATTAAGGTACTGCAGGGGGAAATGAAAGCTTAACAAAACCTTACTGAAACATAATTGAGAGCCTGCCTGAAATCAAGAAGATCACAGAAATATTTAGTATTGTATCTCAGTTTGTGTTAAGTACTTTCAAAAGGTATTGGACACTAAAAGCATATAATATGAGAGAAAGTTGAATTCTTGATTTTTTGCTCTCAAAATGTTCACTCAATCTGAGAAACATGAAAAAAAAGGTTTCAGTTCCTCCACATGTAAACCATTTGTCATCCACTCAAAAATTTTTATACTTCATTTCTTCACCAAAAATCTTGTGATGTCTGATCCATGCTTTGATGCTAGAGATTGTCTTCTCCCCTGGCTTCTTTCCTTAGCTTGCCTGGTAGTTCTCTAAAAGTTAAAAAATACACAAATGTACACCTGTTAGGAAAATAGTACTGGTTTCAGAATCTCAAAAACTTTTTGTATTTCTTTAGTCTGGAAAAATCTACATTATCACCACGCCCACTTCCCAGTGCTTTGCCCTCAAAGGGGACACCACGCCACAAGCAGAGGACCCCAGTAGCTCTGGTAAGTGCCCTGAGGTCCTACGTTCACTTAGGACCAGATGCTTTGGGGAATGACTTACTCCCCAGTGAGACTGTGAATGCCTCATTCTGGGACTACAGTAGGCCCTGATTCTCCTCATCTAAGGGAGGGCATACATGAGGTGTCTCGCGATTTCTCATAGTGCAGTGCATGCAAGGCCTACCAGCTTCCTATTCTGTGGGCTCAGAAGCCATTCCCAAGCCAATGCAGAAAAACAAAATGAGGTAGATCAAAACTGAATTCTTCTGCTATTTCCACAAATAGAATTTCTCATGAGAATCTAAAAAAGTGATTACAGAAGGGGTGGATTTTCTTTTTGTTATATCTTAATTCTCTTATAGGTCTTGAATGTGCTAGTAATTTTCACAGCAGAGAAATCAGATGACTTTTTTTCCCAGTTGAAGTTCATGTATGTGTGAAGTTATCCAGGTAGAAGGGGTGGGGAGAGAAAAGAGGATTAAAACTAAAAATAAAAAACCCTATTACAGGATCCCATTTATGTAAGAATTATATTTGTGAAGAAACTGAGGAACCTAAAATATTAAAATAAGGCTAAGAGTGCTTATACAATATGAACTGGCAAAGGATCTGAACAGGTTTTGAAAGTGTAAATACCACTGATGAGCATTTTTAAAAACCTCAGTATCTTTGGTAAACAAAATAGTGGCAGGCCCTTCTCCTGGCACATGAACACTGATGAGCTCAGTTAAATGGGCACTCTCGTCCCCTGGGGGGAGAGGAGCAGAACACTGTCCTTTGGAAAACTGCTTGGAGATAAATTCCTACGGTCAAACACTTGACTCTATGATTTTACATCTGAGGATCTATCTTAAGGAACAACTTCAAAATGGAAAGAACAGTATGTAAACAGGAAATGAAAACCACTTCAATGTTCATTAGTATGGGAATGGCTAAATAAACTATAGCAGACATAAACTCAATAATGTGTAGCTATTTGGGATGATAAATATGAATGCTTATCATGGGAATATGGGAAAATACTTAAATCCTGCCACAACTGGAAAAAAAGTTAGATCCAAAGTTGCATATTGAATGTATGCTTCTTTCTTTCTTTCTTTTTTTTTTTTTAGATTTTATTTATTTATTTGACACAGAGAGAGAGAGATCACAAGTAGGCAGACAGGTAGGCAGAGGGAGAGGGAGAAGTAGGCTCCTTGCTAAGCAGGGAGCCCAATGCAGGGCTTGATCCCAGGACCCTGGGATCATGACCTGAGCCAAAGGCAGACGCTTAACTGACTGAGCCACCCAGGTGCCCCTGTATGCTTCTTTCTAAGAAAATTTTAATCAGTAGATCCTTTTGCTAGATGGCCTGTTAAAAATTCATCCTAGTTGGTAAATAATGTCATATTTTTCCCTCCTGTTTTAAGCAACAGGTAACTGCTCAAAAATGTGCCAAGGATAACAGATTTTGCACTTTGGCCAAGAGTGTAATGTCTGCATGTTGAACGGAGTTGGTCCTAGAAGGAATTTATTAATGTTCTCTGACATGTCAGGACAGCCTTAGCTGCAAATGCAAACACACGTCACTGCTCCAGTTCACCAATCTTCTAGGTTGATGGGTCTCTTCAACACTGTGTAAGTTACATTCATTTTCTTCTAGGTGGTGGTGACAACCTCCTGTCCTAGAATGAATGCAAAGGAAAGCAGCTTCTCTTCTGTCTGGGACTGAGAACTTACAACAGCCTCGAGAGGAAACTCAGGTGATAAAGGGAATAAAGGCATCTTGGAACCCAGACAAGGGATACAGATTCATCCACTCTGTCTCCCACACCTGTAAACACACTTTTCTATTTGCTGGCCCAGGAAGAAGTCACATGGGTCTGTAGAGCCTCACTCACCTCTCTGTGACACACTGTGCACAGCGTCTGCAGGTTGTCCAGAGAGCACTGTCCTCCTCCACCCGACACGGGCTTGATGTGGTCCACCTGCCAGAAATGCCCTTCTCCTGGGTTTCTTATCATTTCATTAAGCTGCAGTAAGAACACAAGATCAGCACTTCTCACCATACACTGTGGGAACTGTTGGTTTTGCCTCATGCAATCATGTTTATACAGCAAAATCACAGCGAAAAACACATTAGGATGGCTTTTTATAGCTTTTATTGTGAGTAGGAAAAAGCCTCTAGGTTAGCAATTTGAAAGCAATAAAATATGTTTCTGAAAAAGTTCTTTTTCCCTTACCTAACCCATTTTGAAAAAATTATAAGCAAGTATAAAATACCAAGACTCCTGACAGATCAGGGAAAATTACTTGCTTCTGCACCTTTGAGCTAGTTTAGATAGTCATTAAAAGAAAACTGTGAAAAGAGTAAGATCAGATTAGAAAAAAACTTCTGAATATTACGGAGTCAAATAATCTTTAGTTATTGACCTAAATTCATTTGTTATTATAAACAGTGAAAAATTAATATTAACAGCTGTCAGCCAGAACTTTTACGCCATTCACTGGGGAGCCTCTCCAGTCCAGTTCCATGGACTGGAAGGAAGTTTCCACAACAGATCTCTCTCACTGGTGTATCTGGAATAAACAAAGTTGTCCATGTAAAGCAGCACTATTTAGGCCAGCTCACATATATACACTTTATATTTTATCTGTGATGACCTACCTTAAAATGGAATGTATTTTAACATTTTGCCTGAGGCAGTAAAACCAGCTCAGCATTGTAGTTTTTTCAATATGATAAAGATGAGCACAAAGCTTGGTCTTGGACAAGGACAAAATTAAAATCGGCTGCGTGCTGCTGGCAGGGGAACCTGTGTCATGGTTCTAAAGCACTTAGACACACGGAGGCAGAGGGACCCCAGCCCCAGAGGAGCCCCAAGAGCAGCAAGCTGGAGCGGTAAACTCTGTCCAGCTGAGGCCGGCATTGTTAGAAGCAGTTACAAATGGCAGTCTTGTGCATCAAGCACATGACGTGTTCTTAGGGAAAAAGATCCATTTTGTCTGCTTTTTGTAACCAATTCTTTTGCTCTCAACAGTCTCTCCTCGGATGGAGTCTAATCCAGATGTGCTTCTTTATTCCTCCTAGTAATTCCCTGGCCAATCACCTGGGGTCAGTGTTCAGCATCCTAAATTTAACTCTTAAAACAATCACTCCCTCTCTGACTGATCCTCCCCAGTATGAGCCGTACAGTGCTCCCTAGCCTCGGAGCACTTCTGTTTTAGTAGTACACTCCGTAATAACTTCTGCGTTCCTGGACAGGCTGCTTTCACGATGTCCTTGAGTCCTTTCATTGCTTGTCTTCTGGAAGACTCGGCTCTGAGGCAGCAGACACTGACTGCTATCTGGCTGACACCCCTGGGATGGGTGCAGTGTGTCCCTCACCAGTTAGACAAAAGGATATTTCAGGAACTCTGGTTATCATGAAGGAAATAGTTTATTTCCCTAGCTCTCAAAGACACACTAATTCATCTTTGCAGAAATGCTTAATTAATTCTGTCATAATTCGGTGATACTAGGTGAATAAAAATGATTTGACCAACTGGCAGAAATTTATCCATTATTTTAGTGGGGAGAGAATGGCTCAGGAGTGATTTTTTAAAATTAAGCACACTACAAAATTATACATTTTGCTCTAGTTTGAAACTTAGAACTGATTAGATCACAACATTAGAAACCAGTTGAGTTTCTAATGTGAAATAAAAGTGAATCCTGGTGATTGTTTTCTAAGAATAATTTGTCTGTAAATTGCTCTGCTAAAATTATATTTTACAATGGGATGAACAAATATTTTCTTCACATTGTAATGAACTACATTTTGGGAGTTATCTGTTTGCCTCTTGTCATTCAATCCTAACATCATGAAAAGTGGAACAACCAGACCATAGGTACTTCTTGATGGGATGTATCATCTGTTAAGCTCTCTTCCCAAAATAATTTAATCAGAATCTAATTAAGCCACTATATCTTATAACTATTATTCTGGAATCAGGGGGATAGGGAAACATGTCAAATAATACCATGAGGATAGAGGAAGACAAATCCATAATGTAGGAAATCCTACCAGCAAATGATCCAGTTTCTTGAACAATCAATGGTGTAAAAAAGGAAGGAGGTGATATTACAGATTAACTGGAACATAAGAGGTATAATGAACAAATGCAGTGTGTGGGTCATATTGTGATCCTAATTTGAACAAAGCAACTGCAAAAAGGCATTTTTGAGATAATCTGGGAAACTAAGCCTGGATTTATTAAGGAATCATAATTGTGTTGAGTGTAATAATGGGTACTGGGGTATAGGATTATATTTTAGAAAGCGACAGAAAGAAAGAAGGAGGGTGGGAGGAAATCTCTGTGAGAAGTACATAATGAAAGTATTTTTTAAAATATTTTTATTTATTTGACAGGGTGAGTGAGCACAAGCAGGGGGAGCAGGAGAGGGAGAAGCCACCCAGGCACCCCCATAATGAGAGTATTTCAAGAGGAAATGAGGGGCACCTGGCTGGCTTAGTTGGTAGAGCATGCGACTTGATCTCAGGGTCATGAGTTCAGGCGCCACGATGGATGTAGAGATTACTTAAAAAAAGGGGGGGAGTGCCTGGGTGGCTCAGTCATTAAGCATCTGCCTTTGGCTCAGGTCATGATCCCAGAGTCCTGGGATCGAGCCCCACATTGGGCTCCCTGCTCAGCGGGAGGCCTGCTTCTCCCTCTTCCCCTGCTTGTGTTCCCTCTCTTGCTGTCTCTCTCCCTGTCAAGTAAATAAATAAATCTTAAAAAAAAAGGAAATGAAATGAAATGTCTGGAATTTGCTTTAAAATAATTCCAGGAAAAAAAAGGATTGAGGTGAGGGACAAATGAAAATGAAGGCAAAATGTTGATAACTGTTCAAGTTGGGTGATGGGTCTATGGGTTGATTATTCTACTTCTGTATGTATATTTTCAAAAACTGCCATATTAAAAACTTAAAGAAAAAGTGAGTCAATATTCATCACTCAGTACAATGCAGCCTTCTGTCTGCCACATGATTATAATTTACCTGTTCCAATGGGAGCTTTGAGATCCAGGTAATGTCCAGAAGATTCTTCCTCTGACTTTTGGGGGCATCTCTCAGACGTAAAAAGAGTTCCTGTGCATTCAGATTACATAGCTGACACACACCATGTTCAATTTCAAATACTTTGGCTCGCAGGTAACTGTTATTAGATCGAATCCAAAACTCTTCCTGACATTTCAGAGAGCAAAATCGTGAATCCCAAGCATTCACTTTACACTCTTGCTTAGTTTGGCAAGTGGGTTGCTGACAGCGAAGGCAAAGTGGATTTCCTTCATTATCCATAGCTTGCAGATAGCCTTTGGATATAGAAGGCTTCCCAGTGAGATCAGCTTGGGCTATGCAGGGATTTAGAAATGGGACACACACGCCATCATCAAGGAACTTTCTAGAATTGAGCAAAACATGCAATAAGTAACTAATGAACACTTAACACTAGTCACTACTTCATATAGTGAATGGTTTTCAAAGTTTCTATACTGATAAACAGTAAATGCAGGACCCACAGATTCTGTGATTCAGTGTGGAAACAATAGTTATAGTCAGCACTTGATGCTTCATGCCAAATAAAGCAAAGAATGGGGTGTTAAAAAATTAATTTGAATACATATATGCTGCCTCTCTTGGGAATTTAGATATCTTCAAGTTAAACAATCAGACTTGGAAACATCTGAAGAAATTGGCAAATGAGAAGTTAGAAAATGCTTCTTCAGGCTGGGAAAGGACAGACTAATGTGAAACCCCACCTGAAGTTGGGGCTCCCGTGCTCTGTGTGTGTTGGACCACACACCGTAGCAGGACAGAGAGGCCATTTACTAAGGCTTCCATGACACCCTCTGGGAGCCCCTGCTGGCCACCAGGAGACAGTCACACCCACGGAGTGACATAGCCAAGATGCTGATACTATTTTTAGGAGCTGGAACAGAAGACTTGCTAAGTACGTGCCTCCTACAGGTAAACTCAGATTTGACTGAATTAAAATGAGAAATGAACATGACAGGACATGCACTCAATTTGTTAAAATAAAACGAAAAGGTACATCCCTCAATTATGTTGAAAGGTCCTACATGGAATTACCACAACTGCTTGCCTATTTTCCATGGCTGTTTCTCAGAAGTGTTAAAAGCTCCTTGTGATAGAGCTCATGACTGGGAACATCTAGTATCTTTGGGTGGGTCACTTGGTCCACCTGGTCTCAGGGTCCTTCTGATTTCTAAGGTGAGGACATCCTATTCCTCACAGGGTTGCTAGGAGGATGGAGGAGTTACCATATTGTGAAAGCTCTTTCTAACCTCTAAGTGGCCACATCAAGGTCAAGTATGATTACAAATACGAATACAGAAATTTAAAGGAGTACAAGTAGTACTACTATGTTCTTCTCATAAATGAAATCTTACTGTGTAGAAGGTTCCCGTGGCCTGGACTCCTTCATGATCAGACGGACATGGCCCCCATCCTTCTTCACCTTGTCCAGTGAGGCTACAGCAACATCTTCTTTGGTGATGTATCTAAAACAATTACATGTTAAGAAGATTTCTTCTCTCTCCTCTAAGAGTTTCTCTATTTCATGCTCACATTCCTCCTTGTAAGAGCAAGAGAAAAGGTAAGACAGGAGTCTTCATGGTGCTAATACGAACATTAGGGAATATTTCCTACCTTTACATTGGCCTCCACGTGTGGGAAGCACATCTCTGTTCCAAAGTGGTTTTTTCAAGATTTATTCTTCTAAGATATTCAAGAGTCCTTCAATATCCTCTGGACCAGTTTTCACTTAGGGGACAAGTGGAGTGGGTGTAGGAATAAGAAACAACCAAATCCATGCACAACTGACAGCCATGAGTAAACAGCTTGCCACGCTGCACAGAGAATCTCCCGCTGCATGTTTACCTCCCTGTTGGCCTTTCCTTTAAGGTTCCCCCAATCACCTTGATGAGTTATAACAGTGTATCAGCGTACTTGGGTAAAGTGATTCTCTTTTTAGTTAACCAGGTTCCATCACATCTTCTATAATCTTAAGGCTGTTTCCATTATTATCAGCCATACAGGGTTTATGGAATCCTTCCACTGAAATAACGCCACTCTTGATGGGGATTCAGAACCTTATTACACACCACTATCGATACCACACAATGGTTTAGGGACTGGAAGTAAAGAGGAAAGTTATTCCAATTAAAGGTGACGGGGGATTTTAAGTAGGTAAAATGCAATTACCCAATTAAGTCCTTCTAATTAGCATGGCCCACTTTCTCTGGTAGTTTACACTTATTGTAGATTTTTTTCCTTTTTAATTAGTTTAAACATGAATTTCTTCATATTTCCAAGTACTTCTTAATTTGGTATCTTGACAATAAAATTAAAGTTAAATCACGATGGAATTGTGTAATTGTAGGTAAGATCTTAGAAATTTGCTTTTCTGTTAAAGTAGATTTAATAATTAACAGATTTGCTTCTTTTTATAAACTATTAATTTTTTGATACACGCACATATTTCAAAACTCAGAAGGCATGCAATGGTGTATATGGTGAAGAGCAAGTTTACCATCCATTCCCATTCCCTCCCCCAGAGCTATCTCTATGACCAGTTTTTAATACATACTTTCAGAAAGAATTTTTTTCTGTGTAGAGGTTATACCTTTTATTTTCTATTTTTATTGACATATAACTCATAAAATAAAAAATTTACCATTTTAAAGTTTACATTTCAGTGCAGTTCATTCACAAGGTTATCCAACCATCACCACTAATTCCAGAACATTTCCATCACCCCAAAAAGAAACCTGTACTCATTAGCAGTAACTCCTATTTTTTTTTTAAAGATTTTTATTTATTTGACAAAAGAGACACAGCGAGAGAGAGGGAACACAAGCAGCAAGAGTGGGAGAGGGAGAAGCAGGCTTCCCGCGGAGCAGGGAGCCCGATGCGGGGCTCCATCCCAGGACCCCGGGATCATGACCTGAGCTGAAGGCAGACGCTTAACGACTGAGCCACCCAGGCGCCCCTATACTTTTTATTTTTAAAAACAAATGGTAGCACAATATACACACTAATCTCCACCTTGCTCTTTTTACCTACACATACATCTCAGAGATCTTTCCAGATTAGTACACACAGGCTGCCCTATTTTTTAATGATGGCATGTTATTCCATTATTTGAATAAATCATATGTTTAACCAGTTTCCGACTAATGGCATTTAGGTTGTTGTTCTAGTCTCTGCTATCATAAAAAATGCTGTAATATCCCTACACATATTTCTACACATTAAATATATGTAGAATAAATTTTCTGGAAGCAGAATTGCTGGGTCAAAGGTCTTGGGTGCTTTAAATTTGGACAGATATTGACACATTGCTCTCTCCTTTGGGTTTGTACCAACCAATACATGGGTCCACCAGCAATGCAGGAGAGGACCTGTTTCCTCACACTTAAACTAGCACAAGATATGTCAGTTAAAAACATCTCTGCTAATGGTGATACACATCTCCTTATAGCTTTAAACCTGCATTTCTCCTATGAAAAATGATTCTCTTTTCATATATTTGCATTTCTACTGGTGTGTTATTCTGAAAGCAAAGGAAAAAAAAGAATTGCAGTGAATTTTTTTAGAATTCTCTAACTTGCCCTTTTGCTTCCTAAATTTCCCACGTCCCTCCATCCCCCAATTCTTCAACCATTTTATTCCCTTGACAAAAGCACTTCACTTAAGTATTTCAGTGGATTCTAATGAACTCAAACACTTCCTGGCTTTGAGGGGCAAGGGGATATTAAGCCTTGCCTCAGGTATTATTCAATGTTTAAAAGCTTAGAGACCTAATTCAGTAACTTTAAAAGATGCTGAGAAATCTATTCAGAGACTTAAGAACTAAAAATAACCTTTCCTACAAGAGATTTAAGCACAAAATTCTGGAAACCACAAGAAACAGATCAATCAACCCACAAAGCGGGAGGTTGGCAACATCTCAAACATGGTTGTGTTACCACCATTTAATTTTCCATTGAGGTTTGCTGGGAAGTTGATGTAAGTATACCACCTCTCAAAAGGATTATGGTAAATCCCAATTTTCAAAAATAGGGAAGGGAGAACACTGTCTACCAAAGTAATTCCTGGATGGGCATGGCAGTAGAAGATGGCAAATTTTGCAAAAAGAGAAGAGTGTGTTGGAAAGTGGCCCACAACAGGGAAAACAGTGCTGGGCTCTAGGATGCTGACCTGCTTTGGGGGTCAAAATAAATCGCTGGCATTCTAAACCTAACAGGGCTCCAGGGGAAGCATGCTGGTCTCAACAAATGGGAACTCAGCAACTGAAACAATAGCTGGTGATCTTGGCTTCCATTCACATTTAAGATGGAGCTACTCAAAAGCTAACTGCAAACTCTGAGCTTGGATGCGTCCCAAGAACAGGATAATCCGGCTGGAGATGTAGCCATTGCTTAAAATTAGTGTCTATGTTCTTTATTCTAAGGTCATTCCATTTTTTTCGGAGAGGAATTCTCTAATTTTCTGCTAGGAAGTAAAATGTGGCTTCTAGTATCCTGGAAGTGAAGAAAGGGGCCTGGGGAGTGCTGGTTTCCAATATAATGCCTCTCCCTTTATCTCCACTAAGCCTGGTGTTTCCAAGGCTGGTGCCTCCCTGGTTCAGTTTCAATAGAAAGTAAACTGGTAGGACAGTGGGAGGGCAAGGCATCCAGTATCTACCTGCTCCTCATACAGACTTCCAATCAGTGCTGTTGTGCAGCCTGATCTCTCACACCTGCTTTCAGACAGAGAGTTATGCCAAGTCACTGGGACGTGCTGAGGTTGGCCAGCAAGAACCAGCACGCTTCCCCAAAGCACACCCCTCTGCAGGCACACAGGTTTTGTTTTCATGGCTCTGCTAAGTCCACTTCCCTGGAGCCTTCCCTCTCTCTTCCTCTCTCTGATCAGTGACCAAGGTCTCCAGATCTATCTCCTAACACCTCTCTTCATCCTCTTTCCTCCATTCCCATTGCTCCTAATGTCTCTTAACTTGTGTGGGAGGCAGTATCTTAACCATCTCTCCCTAGGACTCCTGTCTCTGGTATTCAGGCAATCACTCATCTAGGTCATGTTGTAAAGGGACTTTGCAGATGTAATTTGGGTTACTAATCAGCTGACCTTAAGAAAGGGAGCAATTCCAAGCATGAGAAGGATTTGACACACCATTGCTGGCCCTGAGACGTAGGAGCCCATGTGCTAGAACTAGAAAGAAGCCTCTAGAAGCTAAGGGCAACCCCCACCCTGACAGCCAGCAAGAAAACCCAAGTCCTACAATCATGAGGAACTGAATTCTGTCAACAACCTGACTGAACGTGGAAATGGACTCTTCCCAGATTCTCAGTGAGAGTCCATCCAGCCGACACCTTGAGTTCAGCCTTAGAAAATCCAGAGCAGAGAAACCAAAGAGCCATCTCAGACCTCTGACGTACAGAACTGTGAGATAATACATTTCTGTTGCTTTGAGCTGCTAAGTTTGTGGTGGTGTGTTAAGGCAGAGACAGAGAGCCAATGCAGTCTGTTTCCTTACTTCAAGTCCTCTCTTTTGATCTCATTTCCCAACTGCTGCCAGAGGGAGCTCTGAAAAACACAAACCTGATTGCTGACTATGCTGCCTCATACATGCTTGAGCTTTCATGTATCATCTCCAGAAAACTGTATAGATAACACCGGTGTGTCTGACTCTGGTTTGTATTGATTTCATGACTTTTGCTTTTACACCTGATTGGCCACCTTTCTCAGGTGGTTATTTAGGTGGTCAGCCATGTCTGATGGGGAGGAAACAATGTGACGAGTCTAGAAATGGCTGGAGTGGGCTGTAAATTTAGTTAAGAAGGAAATTAAGGAAATTAAGGTCATGCAAAGAGAACACTAATACTGCAACTAAGACGGTGGTAATGGCAATGAGAAAATGTGGGGGACTGGAAGAAGGATCGAGAGAAACAGCATAGGCATCACGCTTTTTGTTACACGTGAGTGTATGTGTAGGGGTGTGTGTGCATGTGTGTGTACATATACATAGCAATGCACACAGGTATTTTAAATGTATTTTTTATATAAAGTAATCAACATTCGTGGGAAATATTTAAGCACTACAAAAGAGTTTAGGTGAGTCCAAAACTGGCAGCTTGTGCACAAATCCAACTAGGCAAGGGGCTTTAATGGATTCACAGAGTATTTTATTTTTAATCTGAATTTGAATGACTTCAGATGGGTTATGCACTTTCCAATTTGCTATACTTCTCCCCCCTACCTCAACCGTCTCTGGCTTTACACTTGATCTCATGTGTTCATTTCTGGTTCCTGCTTTGCTTTTAGTCATAGGAGTTTGCGATCCAGGCCTAAAGTATAAAGCCCCTACTATCTCCACAACTCTCCTATTATATGGGCAAGAGTCCTCATCAGGGGCACTACTGACATTTTGAAACAGATAACTGCTTGGGAGTGCAGTCCTGTTCACTGTAGGATTTTCAGCAGTATCCCAGGCCTCTAGCCACTACATGTTCCCCGGTTGTTTCCCCTAATCGTAATAAACTAAAATGTCTCCTAACATTGCCACCCTGGGGGGTAAAATTGCCCCCAGCTGAGAGCTACTGTCTTAGAGAAACCTCTGGTAAGAGTTCCTAGGGTACCTTCTAGATACTTTCTGTGTCATAAGAGCAATTGCATATATCTGTATCTCCATCTTTTTTTTATACTTATTTTTACTCTTAATATCACAAGTATCATTCCTTATTCTCACATATGAATATACCATATGCCACATTTTGCAACAGCTGAAGGGATTTTTCACTGTATAGGGATACAAGCTGTATGATCAACTGCACCCTCTCACATATCATTGATGGATGTTTCTCACCTGTGTGCATGGACAAGTCTAGAGATCATAAACTGAGGATGAGAACACATTACTGGTGTATAGAGATGGCAAGAGTGACAGGGGCTGTTCAGTTTGGTGCTTTGTGATCTCTCCCCACGCGGGAGCTGGGCAACAGAACAGCGGATGCATGTCGCTACTTCATGCTGAAGAAAGAATCTACAGAGAAGGGGGAGTGAGGTCCCGCAGGGGATACCTGAGCTGGGCAGAGATGATTATGAAGCCAAGAAAGGAAAGTAAGTGTACAGAGATTAGAAAGAAACCTGTAATGGTTAAGGTAAAACACGGACAGGACACACCTGACCTTTCATTTTGCTTCCGGCCATGGGCACGAGACTAGTTCCCCGCCATCCTCGGGGTGCTGGTGTGTCCAGCAGAACTAGCCCCCCTGCTGCATGGCACCCAGATTCACGCTCCAGGAGCACAGGGCAGCGGCTCTTCTAACAGGGACCTGTCTTCCTGTTGTAAATTGTGTCCCGGGCTTGGCAGTTCACAGGTCACACCCGCCTGTCACTCTGGCCTCTCTCCTGATGAGTGGGGACTCATGGGACTAAGGCCCAGAAAACCTGATCTTTTCCAGCAGATTTGATCAAATTCACAAAATATCTAATTATGTTGCTATAAAATAAGCTGTTATTTTATGTATAATTTTCTCTTAACTCATCAGGATTTCATTACTGGTTACATAAAATGTCTCTCCCCCTGCCCCCCCGTAGAAATAACCATGACAAATAATGAACTACAAAATAAAAAAGAAAGACAATGCATACCTTTTAGTACTATTTTGCTTGGTTTGTTGCTTTGTGATCTCTTCCAAAGCAAGAACTGGGCTGCAGAAGAGCTGCCCGCTTTTCCTGATTATCTTTTGCTTCATGGCAGTTAGACTATTCCATTCTCGAACAAACCTCAAAATCTGGCAGAAAATGAGGTAATGAAGAGTTAACCAGCTCACCAGGCATCTTCCTTTGAAAGTAAGCCCCTTATCACATCAGAAAACTGCTGTTTTATTATATCCCCAAATAGGCTTCTGAATGTCACAATTTAAGGCTTTCTTCGGTTTGATGCATCTTCATATCTTTATTGTAAAATATCTGTGGCTAGTTCTGCAGAGGTCTCTTTCAACCCAAAGACACATTTCAGGACATCCAGCATATGTCCTTAATGCACATAGGGACCAATGGCAACAATGTGCTCAGCGAGACCAAAAGAGGCCCAGCTGTTAGAAGCACAAAGCCAGCGGTAGCCGAGGCAAAAGTGGTCTTGGGGAGAGTGGGTCTTCCAGCGGCGGCAGGTTTCAGCGCCACATCTGAGAATCGCTTTGTACCCGACTGCCTGACTTCTCATAGGCAAACAGCCAGCAATAAATCTGGCACATTTTTACCAGGGTCGCTATTATTCTTGCTTATTAGTCAATTATATGTAACTGGCTATTTTCTGGGAATCTGAAAATCAGGATTCAATGATACCAGAGAAAATAGCTCACTGCTACCTTTTCCTTTAAGATGGGTATGGCTGACCCATGGGCAACGTTTGCTTTTCACTCAAAGGGCAGAAACATAATCACTATTCTCTTGTAAAAAGTGGTACGCTGCATGCTGTCAGCCCCACCCATGTTGATCCTTCTCAGCAGTGAAGGTCAATCGGCCACAGATCAGGCTTAAGGCCTCCGAGCGTGTACTTGGTCTGTGGCTGTATGCCGGCGCTTCTGAGGATGCCAGAGTCCCCCAGTACGGCATCGTCCCTGCTCTCAGAACTGGCCATCGTTAGAACTTAACCGTCAGAGATAAAATGAGATTCTGTCAGATACAAATACCACAGTTGCTAATCCTGTGAATGAGAAATTAAACGATGTGAGCATAATTCTATCCACAGAAACAGCAGCCTAGGTGTGATCACTCACCAAGGAAAGAGATCTCACGTTTATTCTCAGCACCAAGGTAAATCATAGGCAGTGCCTGGACTGACGAAAATGCGACCAGTGATCTGACTCTGCACCAGGCCACAAGGTAACTTTACTTTTATTAAACTGAAAATGGTCTTAAATTACTCAACAGATTTTAACTTAAAACAAATGCACAGAACTAGTCTTACCAGGGAGCGATTCTGTTTCAGCTGAAAGCTTGCAGGTAAGTCTTCCCAAAGGTCTAATTTTATATCCAAAGGAATGAAGTTACAGTTCATCTGGTTTCCATCCTGATTATAGATTAGGAAGGCATTATTAATCCATCTGGTCTATAGGCACTACTAATTATTTTAAAAAGTAAAGAATTATATTATGGCACAATATTCCTAAAAGATAAATGGAGGCGGCACATTCTAACAAGATTCCACACACACAGATGCCCTGCGTGGATGCTGGGCGGAGGGGCCAGGCCCCCAGGTGCTCTGAATGCCTCCACTGCTTTCCTCTTAAGGGTAAAAATACCACGTAGAGGGCTGTAGTCAGTTAAACATGAGGTTTATTTTTTTATTATTATTATTTTTTTATTATTTATTTATTCATGAGAGACACAGAGAGAGAGAGAGAGGCAGAGGGAGAAGTAGGCTCCCAAGGAGCAGGGAGCCCGATGCGGGACTCGATCCCAGGACCCTGGGATCATGACCTGAGCCGAAGGCAGACGCTTAACCATCTGAGCCACCCAGGCGCCCAAACATGAGGTTTAAATATGAGTATTTCTTTTATAAAGGGGAAGAAAAACTTCTGCATATGAAAATCTATTGTATCAATAAAAGCTGAACCCATATTGGAATTCTCTCAGCTGAAAAGAAAGTTACAGCTTCCATAATCACTTTGGAAAAAAAACACACAGAAAGTACTTAACATACTGATTCAAAGTTTAGACATGTAATGGTTCCTATAAACTCTGAATTAGACTTGGGATTCTGGCTAAAATGAATAGCTCTTTAGAGGGACACTGTTACTGCAACATAGGATGCTAAACAGCTGTTACTGATCTTCCTTTTAGGGGGTTTTTATCCAAATCCCTACTTCCAGATTCACCTCAGCTCACCTTACAGCTGTGAAAAGAACTGTTCACGTGTCCTCTGCTTAGGGTCTCATATTTAGAAGATTAATTGAATAACATTTTATGGTAAAGGGACATGCAAGTATTTAGCTCATTCATAAAAATGCGCTTGAGACTATTAAGAGTCAAGAAGGTGAGGTGGCCCACGTGACCTGGAACTAGAAGGTGGGTCAGCAAGGCTGTCGCACCAGGACTTTGCAGTTTCTCTCCTATCTCCACCCAAAGGGGTGAAAACATTGATCAGATGACCCAGGATGCAGAGCTTTCACTGTACAGAATAAAAAGTGTAAGGAGTTTAAGGGCTTCTGAATTCTGTGTTGTACTCTGCCTGGTGTCTGCCTTTTGGGTTCTTGACCTTCAGTCGCCTCTGGGGACCAGTTCTCTATTATTCTCACATGGTGGTCTGGGAACCATGGCCTGGAGCTCTCCCCACACTGCAGATGAGGGTGCTCAGGCACTCAGACCTGCCTCTACATGAGCTGAGGAGGCCTTGTGCTCCCTCCACACCCAGAGGTTCCACATGGTGGACAGGGGTCCAAGCGTTAAAGAGAAGCATCATTCCCTGCCTGGCTTCGTTCCCGGTGTCTCTCTCTTGGCTGTGGTCTCACGACAGAAGCAGTGTGGGGCTTCTGGCATTCACGATCCTAGTCATCTCTTAATCTTCTAGCAATCCCTTCTAATTATTAGTTGGCACTGGAGATTATTACACGGCCCGCCATCTATCTATATTTCTATTTGGTTTAGTGTAAAACCTGTAACCTAAGTTATCTTGAAAAAGGCATTCTTTCAGTAGGCTCTCATGAGTATAAGAAGTTACAAATATTTTATTTTACTTATAAAGACTAGGAATTTGATACTGTAGAGCAAAGTATTCATCATCTCAACAAGTTTTTCCTCAAATACTCACACTAGTTTACCTAGGCCACAGATTCTTACAGGGCCCCTGAGACCACTTTAGGGGATCCACAGAGGCAAAAGTGTTTTCTTAATAACAGTAAAACAACATTTGCCCTTTTCACCCTCATCCTCTCACAAAAGCACAGTGGTGTTTCCCAGGGACAGACAGATATGAGAATCCCAATGTCTTCATTAAGACTCTAGAGAAACTGGTAAAAATATAAAACAGTGAAGGGGTGCCTAGGGGGCTCAGTCGGTTAAGCGTCTGACTCTTGATTTCTGCTCAGGTCATGGTCTCAGGGTCCTGGGATCCAGCCTGCGTCAAGCTCCTGCTGAATGTGGAGCCTGCTTGTCCCTCTCCCTTTGCTCCCTGCCAGCTCCGCGCCCCCCCCCCCCCCCGCTCTCTCTGTGTCTCTCTAGAATAAATAATTTTTAAAAAAAAATCCCCAAAACAATGTAAAACAATGCCAACTCTCCTCACTAAATGTTATCTTTGTTTTATAAAATACGTTTCATGCCCTGCGTGGATGCTGGGCGGAGGGGCCAGGCCCCCAGGCGCTCTGAATGCCTCCACTGCTTTCCTCTTAAGGGTAAAAATACCACATAGAGGGCTGTAGTCAGTTAAACATGAGGTTTAAATATGAGTATTTCTTTTATAAAGGGGAAGAAAAACTCTATTGACATGAGTATCAACAATGGGTTATTACTATCTTTAGTTAATAAATATTTTTAAGTGTTTCCAGTTTAATTTCAAATACAGTAAATATCAACAGATATAACCCACATGAACAAAAGCTCCTTGGGGTTCTCAACAAATTATAAAAGTACAAAGAGCTCCTGAGACTAAAAAGTTTGAGCACCACTAACCTAGGCTATGGCATGAATCCAAGCAATCATATTTTTAAAGCTTCCTAGAATTTATTCGACATGGATGGGCAGAGTCAGGCTTTGGCAAAGGTGCTGCGGCTGCTACAAATGATCTGTGAAGGAGCTAACTTTTTTTGCAAGTACAGTTGACACGATGTTATGTAAGTTTCAGGTGTACAACATGGTGATTTGACAAGTCTATACGTTATGCTGTGCTCACACAAGTGTAGCTCCCATCTGTCACCATACAACACTATCATTATCATTGACTGTATTCCCTGTGCTGTACCTTTCATCCCTGTGACTTACTCACTCCATAACTGGAAGCCTGTAACTTCCACTCCCCTTCCCCCATTTTGCCCATGCCCCCACCCTGTCCCCTCTGGCAACCACCAGTTTGTTCTCTGATTTATGGGTCTTTTTCTGCTTTGTTTGTTCATTTGTTTTGTTTTTTTAGATTCCACACATAAGTGAAATCATGTGGTACTTGTCTTTCTCTGTCTCACTTATTTCACTTAGCATCATACCCTCTATGTCCATCCGTGTTGTTGCAAATGGCAAGATCTCGTTCTTTGTGGCCGCATAATATGCCACTGTGTAGATGTGGGGTGTGTGTGTGTATACCACATCTAGGAGCTCTTACTGAGTTTCTTATGGCTAGGCACAAGTGCTAAGTGATTTACAGGAATTGGCTCATGTTACCCTTGCAACAACTCCTCTCCACATTTTCCAGTTGAGGAAACTGAGGCACAAAGCAGTTAAGTAATATGTTCAAGATTCCATGCTCAGTAACAGATATGAATTGAAGCAGTTTGGCCCTGAAGTCTGTGCTCTTAACTACTATGCTGTTTTGTTTCTCATTGTCTTTAGATTTAACAAAAGAATTTTAGAATTAGCTTTAAGGAGAAAAAGAACCAGATACCTATATCACTGTTAATAAAATTAAATATCTCCACTGAGACATGAAAAAAAGGAAGCCTTTTGTATGTTTCAAGCTACAGAATCTGCATGATGCTTACCTTAGTATAGAGGTGAATCCGGTCAGTATTCTTACTTGCACAGAACATTAAGGTATCATACACTGGCAAGTTGTCTGAACTCTTCAACTGTTCTAGTTAAGAAGATAAAAAAGAACCTGAAGGCTTATCTCTCCTCTAACCAAAATAGCTTATTTTAATCTTCTATGGGTTAGAATGATGAAAGAGCTATATAAAACATATCAACATATTTGACAAAGAACATGTGTCTGCACTTGAAATAAAACTACGATGGCAGGGCATCTAAGACCACATTGGCTTATATGGAAACCAGTTGCTTTGCACTTTTGCTAATGACTCCATAAGAGAGAAACAAATTAGGAATTAGCTGAAAAGATATGAGTTAGGTATGAGAGAGAACTTCCTCCACCGAGAGTTGTCGGTCTTAAAGGAGCCTAGAATCTGGATTTTTCCAAGAGTGGTTTTAAGCTGGGACTGAAGGAGCACCACTTTGGTTACCAGCAGCAATCCAGCTCTGTGAAAGGCCACTTAAATGCCAGATTCCCTATGACCCAGTACTTCACATTCAGAAAAGGGGACATGTGGACAAGTTTTTTTTCTGATTATCTTCTTTTATTTACCACTTCTCAGTTTCACTGACCAATATATATAGGAGAGAGAGGGTTAACACAGTGGATCTAGGGGCGCCTGGTTGGCTCAATTGGTTAAGCGACGGCCTTCGGCTCAGGTCATGATCCTGGAGTCCGGGGATCGAGTCCCACATCGGGCTCCCTGCTCAGCAGGGGGTCTGCTTCTCCCTCTGCCCTCTTCCCTCTCGTGCTCTCTGTCTCTCATTCTCTCTCTCTCAAATAAATAAATAAAATCTTTAAAAAAAACCCAAAAAACACAGTGGATCTAAATAATAATTATGGTTAACACTTATCAAGTACTTACAATGTGCCAGGCACTGTTCTCAGTACATATATTAACATCTCTCAGAAATAAGTAGTGCATTTTACAGAGGAGAAAACTGAGGCACCTTTACTTGCCCAAGGTCACACCACCAGTAAGAGGACTTAAGACCAGGAATGTGGCTACAGAGCCTATGCCCTTAACCTCTGCCACAGTTTCTGAACGACTTTCATCCTCATCATTATTTTTATTTTATTTTTTCCTCGGTGACCTTTTAAAGTGCTTCCCCAGATCTAGAAGTCTATGATTTGTCATTCTACTTGGCAATGTCATCATATTTTAATTTTTCTAATCAAGCCACTGGTCATTTTACAAACTTGGGAGTATTCCCATATTTCATAAATTCAAAAATGTCAGCTTTTCCCACACTTGAACACCCCTGAGATTGGCATGTTGTACAGCCAGTAACTGTGCCGTTTTACAATCATTGCTGGCCCAGTGGCAGGTGCGAAGTGGTGGTCACTGCCCGAGCACCCATGAGCTTAGTCATAACTACAATACTGTTATTACTTCAACACCACACTTGAGTCAAACGCATTGTCTGTTACTACATGAGTTCAGTTTAATTACCTCTACAATGTCTTCAAAACGTTTCACTATGATTTGGTATTGAAATGAAAAGTTACCATGCGTACCAAAAAATTTTGCATATAAGGCGGGAGAGGATAAATTTTATATTAAAGAAGTAAATATGTATCGTTGGAGGAAGAACCAAAATTTTTTTATATTCTTGCAAAGGAATAACTAAGTGCTTCATGGAACCTAAGGAAAAGAGATCCCTGCAGACAGAGGAAGCTCTCTCACATCTGGATCCTGAGATGTACAGAAAGGTTGCCCTAGTACATGCCAAGCACAGCAATGAAGGCAGAAGGACTGCCGAATCCCTCAGGACAAATGAAAGAAATATCAAAGCAACAGAGGGTGGTTTGACCTGGTCTGGGCTCTCACTCGGGTATTAAGTCACAGCTTAATTTTTAGAGTTTCTTTTTTAATGTACATAAAATAAGTGCATCCTATAATCACTGTGTCTTCAGATTTTTTTGAAGAACCATAGTTAATGCATTAATGTTTAAAGATCAGAAGTCATTCTCTGATTAAAAAGCATTAAAGGATTGATTCCAAATCAGTTGATATTCTCGGTAGCTAGCAGCTACATCGGGGAACATATTTCTCTTGTCATTGTTTTCATGAAGTATAATTTAATGGCTCGAGACTAGAGATGACGCATCTTGTGAAGACACAGCCATCCTTCCAGACCCTTAGAATTCCAGTTAGAACAAAACCACAGTCCCCACAAAGCACATACCACTACAGTTCTAGAAGAGCTTATGTGCATAGAATAAACATTTTCACATAGTGTGCCCCCTGTCACCCTTCTGTTTGTTTTTCATGGAAATCCATGTTAGTGGGGAGAGGTGAAACATTATCGCTTGTATGGAATTCTCAGCCCAGTGATCTGAGAAGTCAGGAATGGGGGAAAAGTTGGCATTGTCTGGAGTGGATGAGGCCAAGGCAAATTTCACTGGCCGAATAGAATTTCTAAAGGTCTAGTGATTTTTGAAAAGTATGTGTAAGTAAACCTAGCATCTGCCTTCATCAAGGGACCAATTTCCAACTAACAAACCAGAATTTCCCTGCCACAGATGAAGAGACTTATGGTCCATGAGTTGTTTGTTCTCGGTCTGATGTTTAGTCCAGTGAGCCAAACGCTGTCCTACAACAAGGGCTTCATCAGCACTTGAGGGACTGTCAGAGCAGGAGGAAGGAAACCAGAATTATGAAGGGAATGCCCCACTTGAGACTACACCGTCTACCTAAATACCATTAAAATTAACACACCTAAAACAGGGTCCCTTCCAATACATTATTTGAGAAGACCTTGAGGCATTAGAGGGAAGGAGGGCTGAGGGAAAAAGAAAGGAGAATGGCCTGAGCTCAGAAATTCTTAAATGAACGTTTCATTTTAAATGAATCTGACTCTGAATTATATCTGTGTTTAATAGCAACTGATTTAGAAGGAAAACTTCAACTGTCCCATCTCAACAGTTTTGGTGTTGTTATAATGAGAACATCCGTCTGTGGGTTACTATGGTCACTAACCGATTAACAAAGAAAATAACCCCAAAGTACTCACCAACTCTGGCCAGTCGGCCCATAACGACAGTGATGTGTGACATATGGGCTGGTATGCACCCACCATCACAGCTTGAAGTAATGAATGGAATCAACCAAAGAGTAAATAAATCCAAACACTACATGGTTGGCTCCAAGTGCAGTCATGATTCATATAGTCTTGAAATTATGTACCTTGAAAACGTTTTCTTAAAAAAAACCAAAACACCCAAAATCCTAAATTTAAAATAGGCCAATTAGTTGTAGCCATTTAAAAGAAATTCATGTGCAAATGATTAATGATCTGTTAAGTAGCTGTTAATAATATGTCCATCTTACTGTTTTGTCCAAAAGAACCTCCCAAATATCAAAACCTCACCCTCGCTCACGGATGGGCCTGACCTGGATGAGGCTGGGCGAGCGGCCTGGGGGCAGCACGGGCAGAGCTACATGTCAGTTCTGCTCTCTGTGTCATGTCTGAATGCCCACAGGTCTGCTCTTCCAGCCACCTGGTATTTCAGTGGGTGGTTCCAAATGTTTAATCCAAAAATGGTAATGCAAGGAACCTGGAACGGGATAGTGGTAGCAAATCTATCAACAGTATTATCTATCTACGTGCATGGTTTGCATCTGGACACTGGAAGTGGAAACCAGACTTACCATCACCTGGCTGGGGTGTGAGTCCGTCTTCTCTCTTGATTTCTGATATTTCTTCCTTGTTTTCAGCCAACAGGTTAGGTTCTGAGGGTGCAAGGACTTGTTTTTCACAGTCAGAACTAGTCCAAACGTTTTTGGAAGTATCTTTCTGAGGATCACCTTTCTCACCTTCGTTTTTATCCTGGGTAGAGCTGAGGCTATCTAGTTGTAGAATTATGAAAATCAAACAATTTACACACAAATTTAGGTAAAATCATTATTTACTCTAAGGTCAGTTTTATTTATTTTTTAAAAAGATTTTATTTATTTGACAGAGACACACAGAGAGAGGGAACACAAGCAGGGGGAGGGTCAGGGAGAAGCAGGCTTCCTGCTGAGCAGGGAGCCCGATGCGGGGCTCGATCCCAGGACCCTGGGATCATGACCTGAGCCGAAGGCAGATGCTTAACGACTAAGCCACCCAGGTGCCCCTACGGTCAGTTTTTAAAAAGTCACAGCTAGGTCTTATAAAAAGCAACACGGTCAACAATGTTTGTTCATTCTCTGGAAACACCTGCTGGGAGTCACTAAATGCCCCATGTGCAAATGATGGGGTGCTGGACAGGCAGTGAGGAATGAGACAGACAAATCCCTGCTTCCTAGAGTTTCCATTCTAAGTGTCAGAGACAGACCATCACCAAGGAAGCAACAAAAATCAGAGAAGGAGAATAAAGGCCAATGAATAAAGAAAAAGAAATAAAACAAGCGAATAAAACAAGGTTTTGTAATCAGGGGACAGTGGGGAGCAAAGGTCGGCAGCGCCAAGCTCTGGGTCGAATTCCATCTGAGCTGAGGGCTGTTCGGGAATCTAGGAGGCCCAGCCCGAGAGCCTGTATTCTCAAACCCGATTGTAAATGTAAATGGAAGCCATTGAGGGTTTTAGGTAAAGGAATGGAATCATCTGAGTTTTTAAAGGCTCACTCTGGTTGCTTGTACTGAAGGGCCACAGGGAGGCTAGCTGGGAGGCCACTGAGGTCTGGGAGAGGAAATGGTAACTTCTGGTAGGATGGTAGCAGCAAGGAAGACGTGGCCAGAATCAAGACAGACTTTGAAGTTATGCCAGCAGAACCTGACAAATCAAGTGTGGGAGGAGAGAAAGGAATCAAGGACGCTGCCTGCGTTTCTAGCATCGTGGAGGGATGATGAGGGAAGAGAAGATTTAGGTGTTAGGTGTGGTGGTGGTGAATCAAGAACTCCACCTTGGGCCATGTTCACCTTGAGGTACCCATCACACGAGCAGGTGCAGATGAGACAGAGGCATATGGACGAGCCGCAGTTCAAGCGGGAGACAAGTGTGGACCTATGAACTGTAATATGGCAAGTATGAGCTATGTGGATATTAGGAACAAAGCGCAAGAGGGGTACCTGGCTGGCTCAGTAAAGCATACGACTCTACATCTTAGGGTCATGAGTTCAAGCCCCATGTTGGGCACAGAGATTACTTAAAAAAACAAAACAAAACAAAACAAAGCACAAGAGAAGGGTTATTCATTGACAAATATTAGTGTTCAGTATATACTATACCAAATTGTACTGAATGTCCTGGAGAATGCATTAGCAACCTTTATAGGACTGTAATTTCATAATATTGCTCCTTTAGTTTTTTTTTTTTTTTTAAGATTTTATTTATTTGACACAGAGAGAGAGAGAGAGAAAGCACAGGCATGGGGAGCGGCAGGGAGAGGGAGAGGGAGAAGCAGGCTCCCTGCTGAGCAAGAAGCCCAATGAGGGGCTCGATCCCAGGACCCTGGGATCATGACCTGAGCTGAAGGCAGATGCTTAACTGACTGAGCCGCCCAGGCGCCCCTCTCCTTTAGTTTTTCGGATTCTGTTTCCTCAAAGTGTTATATGGCAAACACTGATTGAAAATTTTGGGTGAATTAGAATTAATTCTGCTTTTCAGTACTTTTGAGGGTACATCCAAATTAGGGTGGGAAATCATTATGCCAAGTACAATAATATTAATCTAACAATTACAACCTTTATACACAGTAGTATCACTGTTACTTATATGTATTTCTGTTTAGTCAGACTTTCATAGTCACAAAAGGAGTTTTATTTTTCTTTAGGTTACTTGTGAGTTTGCTTATTAAATCAGGAGTCTAGAAACTTTTGCTGTTGCTCATGGTGTCACAAAGAAAAATCAGAACTACAAACCCTATTAAACTATGATTTTCATTGCTAAATCACTCAACTTATACTTAATGTGAACTGGCATTATTCTGTAGTCATGAGATACTTTATTTTTATGGTCTAGAGTAGTTGGAAATTGAATGAGATAATGCAAATTGTGAGAGATATTATATGGAATAAGCTTGTGGTTCCAATTTAGTTCACAGACAACAGGTGTCCACGTTACAAATATAACCACCCAGATGGCAGACTTGTCATTTTTGTAGGAACACCCAAATTGAAAGAGGAAAGACTCAGCTACTGATTACATTTTCTTTCAGATTAAAACTAAGACACAGGAGAACAAGAAAGACAGGCAGTAAAGAACAAGAGAGAACAAGAAAGAAAGGCAGTAGCAGAGCCTTTATCTTAGCTGACTCTTTGTTACTGTCACTCTCTAAAGAGTTCACATATGATGGAAAAGGAGGTGTGTACAATTATTACAACCGATAAAATAAAATGATTTCTTCCAGCTTCCAAAACTGTCAAGTTGGCCTTTTGAGTTGCCATGAAAATGGTCTCTCAAACTGGAAACAAAAGAAATACTAATGATCTTTTTTCTTAAGACAACCTCAGTATTAATTAATTTCAAAAACAAAACATCAGAAAATGTAATACCATGCTATAAAAACATACTCTGAGGTATGTTTATAATTTCTACTTTTAAAATAGCATGTTTTGGAAAAGAATAAACTCATAAAACAGATACCAAATTGGTTCTTAAAAGACGATCTATAGAGGAATTTTTATGATTTGTCATACAAGAAACAGGACACAATGTATATTTTACTAGGCAAAGAAGCTACCCTGGATTATTTTGCTATTTAAACAAAAATAATCTATAATTTCTTTAAAAACAAGTATTATCTACAGGAGAAAGAAAACAGCAGGTCTATGACTATAAGGCATATTTGCTGCCATAGCAACAGAGCTTCTATTCCTGCCCACTGAATTCACATCCTGCCGGCATTAATGAGAAATGTCCATTTGTGCCAAATTAATGCCATGTCACAGACGCTCAGGGATATACATTCTTGACAGAACTGGGAGCTTTCCACATTCTACCGGGGGATAAATTCAGTCTTCACTATGTAAAGTTCTTACTCTAGCTTAAAAGCTAAAGTCAGTGTCGAGTCCCACTAACCCGTGCTAACAGCAGTTGCCTCTAAAAACACAGACTATGTGAAGATAACACCGCCAGCCCCCTCCAGGGCCACACTCCATGTACTCACCAGCTCTGCCTGGAGGATTCTCACACATTTCACAGTAAGGTAACGCTGAGTTATTGATATAGGTGCAGAAAGCACACTGCCAGCCCTTTCCAGGAAGGATTGGGCTGGTTGCCTGGGCTAGAGCCGTGGTCTGCCTGGGCCGGGATGGTTTCTCCTCTGGGGCACTGCAGTGGTCATTGGTGGTGACCAACTTCAATCTTTTAGCTTCAGGTTCAACATTGCTTTCATAATCAATGATATGTCTTGTGGCTCTTTTTCCAGGGTCTGCTGGCACGACAGTATTTTTCTCTTGGAATATCCCTGATTCATCACAGGAGGTCACCAACTGTCTTTTCTTAGGTTTCGGTAAAAAGAATGATCGAATATCATGCTGTTTTTCTTTTTCAAACTAGGAAAAACAGTTATCAAATTAAGAAGCAATCTAATATGTTCTTCCTAAATGAAACAGATTAACCAACTATTTTCAGTAACCATATTCCTTTATCTTTTGAATACCTTGTTGGAAATGAATTCAGTTATGCTATGACTCTTCATATATACATATATGCAGAATATCATTAACACATCTATATACTTCCTGTGTCTAACTTTTTTTTAGCACTTACAGTGTGCCAAGCACTTTACATATATTAACTCATTTAACCCTCATGCCAGTTCTGTAAGACAGGTACTAGTATTCTTCCTATATTTTAGATGAGGACACTAACGCTTTAGAGATGTTAAGTAATGTGGCTACAGAATTTATGTAATAAAATTATACTTCATCAACTATCTGCTCTAGAGGTATATCAGGGAAAGGAGAATTGTGTATTTAAATATTTCAAGTCAACCAAGAACCTACAAAAATGTTTCCATGCCCAAACTATAAATACAGTATTCATAAACAATGTTTTTCATATTACAATGTTTTCTTGACTAGGGAGCATTTTTTCAAATAGCATTAAAGCTATTAATTAGAACTGCTTCTTTAACAGACACATCTTAACAATTATCTTGCTTTCAAGAAATTTATTTCCCTTTTCTAAGAAAATCTCCATCATTATCTCATGTTTTTTGGTCTTCTTTTCAATGTATAAATCTCAACCTCCTTATTAGAGAAAGTGGAATACATAACTCCACAAGTGATTAGCTTGTAGAAGGAAGACAGAGGAGTCAATTTTAGAGAATTCCTGTTAGGGGTACCATAGTGGATACACACTGCATTTCCAAAGATGGTCACACCAGTTCTTATCTTATTTGACATGCTTTTCTCATAATACGACACAACATGCCTACATTTGGAGGTGGGGTCTGTGTTCCTCTCCCTTGAACCTGGGTGAATCTTTGTAACTGTCTCAATCAATAGAATGCAGTGAAAATGACACTGTGTGACTTGTGAAGCTAGGTCGTTGAAGATTATATGGCTTCCACTTGGTTGCTGGCATTCTGAATCTCTCTTTATGTCTTGGGTTGCTTGTCTTTGGAGCCTTGCCACCATGTTGTGGGGAGGCCCAGGTCACAGGGAGAAGCCATGTGTGGATGTCTGAGTTGACAACTCCAGGTAGGCCCCTAGGTTACAGACAGCATCAACTGCCAGACATGTGAGTGAATGAGCCTTGAGATGTTTCCAGATCTCAGACATGGGGTCTTCCATCAAAGTCCCCATTCACTGTGGAGCAAAGACACATCATCTCCATTACACCGATTGAATTCCTCACCCCTAGAAACCATAAGAAATAATATATGACTATTGTTGTCTGAAGACACTAAATTTGGGGCTAATTTGTTATGCAGCAATAGATAACACTGACAGACACTATGGATAATGATAGCAAAATACCATATATTGTAAAGAAATATTTTACATAATACATCTACCTGCACTTCTTAGCAGTGGTGTATAAGAAAGCAAGATATAGCAAATCCATAGAGACAGAACAATTAGTGGTTAACAGGGGCTGAGGGAAAGGGAGATGGGGAGTTATTGCTAAATGGTCACAGAGTCTGTCTGAGGTGAGGAAAAAGTTTTGAAAATAGTGGTGACAATTGTACAACACTGTGAATGTGATATTAAGGGGCATTACCACTGAATTGTACACTTAAAAATGGTGAAAATGGCAAGCTTTATGATTATATATTTACAAATATAAAAAGGAAGGGAAAAAAGCAGGAAGATTTAGGCTGTTCCCATATTGGTAAAATTAAAACATATAAGAAAAAAAATCATGTGGCCCCCCCCCCGCCAAATGTACAGCTTCTATTTTCTATGGCTGTTATTTACACAACCTCATGTACTATAAAAAGTTACCTGATTAGTTATGGAAGTTACAGAATTTAGATAAAAATATAAAGAAGGAAATTATTAACTATGAGAAGATTTTTAAAACAAGGCACAAGGGAAATCCAAGAAAAGGGTGAAGGGGGCGCCTGGGTGGCTCAGATGGTTAAGTGTCTGCCTTCGGCTCAGGTCATGATCCCTGGGTCCTGGGATCGAGTCCCCATACCGGGCTCCCTGCTAGGCGGGGAGCCTGCTTCTCCCTCTGCCTCTGCCTCTCTCTTTCTCTCTCTCTGACTCTCATGAATAAATAAATAAAACATTTAAAAAAAAAAGGGTGAAGAAAAGCAGAGAGATTAGCAGACTAACAGAGTTTGGTGTTTAAAAAGGTAACAAAGCAAAAAAGATAGTTAAACATTTAAAGAAAATGTTCTATTCCATATAATAGGACGGCCAAGAGGGCTTTCAGGATTTTGAAAATACTAGCAAATGTTCAGCAAACATGAACAAATTCCATCAGATATTTCTAGTTAAAGCATGACCTTCCGAGTCCTTCCATGTCTGGAAATGAACTGATTTTGTTTCTAACCCTTAGTCAGTAGTTTCATGGGACATATAATTCTTTTCAAGTCTTTACAAACATTGCTCTGCTTCTTCCAACACCTGATGATGCTGATGATGTTCCTTCATAGGTTGCACTTTTCCTTTGTTTTAGAGGCTTTCAAGACCTTCTCTTTATCCCTGGTGCTCTGAAATTTCACAATAATCTGTATTTCTTTTTTTTTTTTTAAGGTTTTATTTATTTATTTGAGAGAGAGAGAATGAGAGATAGAGAGCACAAGAGGGAAGAGGGTCAGAGGAAGAAGCAGACTCCCTGCTGAGCAGGGAGCCCGATGCGGGACTTGATCCTGGGACTCCAGGATCATGAACTGAGCTGAAGGCAGTCGCTTAACCAACTGAGCCACCCAGGCGCCCACAATAATCTGTATTTCTATATCTGTATCATTTATATCTATGCCTTATGCTCAGCACCCAGGATACCTTAATTTTGAATGGTACTCAGTAGCTTTAGCTCCTGGAAATTTCCATTATTCTTTGACAGCTTCTTCCCCTTTATTTTCTTTTTTTCTGGAATTACTGTTAGCAGAACGATGGAACTAGACATAATGTCTTACCTTTTATTGTCATATTTTCCTTTTTTTTTTTGTCTTTTTACCCTCTAAATTCTTAGTTTTTCTCTCATTTATCTTGCAACCCTACAGAATTTTATTTTGACAGCTGTATTTTTTTTAAAGATTTTATTTATTTATTTGAGAGAGAGAGAGAGCACAAAGGGAGAGTGAGAGGGAGAAGCAGACTCCCCGCTGAGCAGGGAGTCCGAGGTGGGGCTTGCTCCCAGGACCCTGGGATCATGACCTGAGTTGAAGGCAGACGCTTAACCAACTGAGCCACCCAGGCGCCCCTTGACAGCCATATTTTTAACATCTAAAAGTTCCTTTTTGTTTCCTGTTCCTTTTTTATAGTAGTCTGATTTTATTTATATTTGCAATATCATCTTAAATGTGAGGCTACTAATTTGAGTTTTTAAAATGTTGTCTTTAGGGTTAATTTTTCTATCAGCTTATTTTTGCTCCCCTTTTTCATGCTACAGATTTCCGCCCCAAATAGCCAATGACCTTGCTTGTCCCTGCATACATGTCAATGAAAGAATAGAAGGGTTGCCTGGGAATGTGGGACACATGGGGCTTATCACCATGAAGTTCTAAAAGAACATATTGGGTGTTATATGCAACTAATGAATCATTGAACACTACATCAAAAACTAAAGATGTACTACATGTTGGCTAGTTGAACTTAATAAAAAATAAAAACATAGGGGCACCTGGGTGGCTCAGTCGGTTAAGCGTCTGCCTTTGGCTCAGGTCATGATCCCAGGGTCCTGGGATCAAGCCCCACATCGGGCTCCCTGCTCAGCGGAGAGCCTGATTGTCCCTCTCCCTCTGCCTGCCGCTCTGCCTACTTGTGCTCTCTCACAATCTGTCAAATAAATAAATAAAACCTTTAAAAATAAGTAAATAAAAACATAAAAAATAAAAGGACATAATGATTCACTGCAAGGGGTGAGGTAGATGGAGGAGCCCAGAGTGATCTCAAACTCCTACATTTCTGACTTGTAACACTGTAGGAATGATGTTTTCCTGTAATAGGGAATATAGGAAAATAACTGGGCTCCTAAAAAGACAAAAAGAGGATAAAGAAATAAGTTCACTTTTAGACACGTGTGAAGACTGATGGGTACCAGGATGGAGAGTTCCAGGAAGCAGATCTGGAGTTCAAGAGAAAGAAACAACTAGATTCACACATCTGAGAACCACTAACAGAGAGAGGTGGTTAAAGGTATAGGACTTGATGTCATGATACATGGAGGGAGAGGGTAGTGAGAAAAGGTCAAAGTCAAGGACAGAAAGTACAGAAACAGCATTAAGGGTGGAATGACAAAGAGATATTAAGCAAAGAAACATACAAGCAATAGTAAGAAAGGTAGAAAAATCAGGAGAGTGGTAGCTTTATTGGATATGTGTGCATGTGTTTTCGTTTTCCACTCATACTAGGTGCTCATTGGGCACTTTAAAACAGAAAAACCCATGTCCTTCAGTTCTGGGAAATTTTCATATATTATGTTTTCTTCCTCTGTTTTCTCTGTCCTCTCCTTCTGGAGTTCCTATTAGGCAAAAAGCTTCTGGATTGATCATTTGATTTTCTTCAACTTTTCTCACACTTGCCGATCGCTATTTGTTCTTCTTTCTTTGTGAGTTCATTACTTCTGTCCCATCCTTGTTGAATTACTATTGTCTGATATGACAGGTCCAATTCCTACGAGCTTCACTTGTCTGATTTCCTCTCCTTGTTCTGGTTTCATGGGCACAGTATTTTCTTTCACTTCTCTATGGACATTAGTAATAGTTTTGGTGTTTCCTTTTAACGTCTTCTCCATGGTCTCTGCTTCTTCTGATCCCTTTCTTGGCTTACATGCTTGTTTTGGTCTCTGCTTTTCCAGTGAAAGGATTTCCTCCAGGCCTCACAGCCTTTACTGTCCATTCATATTTAAGAATGAGACTTAATAAGCATTAAGA